ACATTCAGTAAATCAAGAATTTCCGCGTCATTGTTGTGGAAAAAGCGAGAGCAAACCACCAGCAAAGTGTCAACCAACGCAGTCAAACCCCATACGTCTGATGACTTCTCAGCTAGGACGCTTCTACATACAAGGCGAGATTTTAATGTGTAATCAGTCGGTAGCCGATACTCGTGTTTCAAATACCTAGAAAAGTTATTACAATTGTGGGCAACTATACGCTCCTTACTTGGAAAATATGTCTCCCTCCACAAGGTGATTCATAATTATATGACATCACATAGATTTTTTTAAATAAATTTGTTTAGAATGAGCGAAGAATAAAGAAATTTTTGTTTTACTGATGAATAATGTTTCATAAATCTCTCATTTCCGCGACAAAGACACCGAAATTCTTGTGATTGAGTGAAGGTTGTATTTGTTCTGGTGTTTTTAGCACTGCTTACATTGACTGATCATATCACAGCAGCGTAGAATACATATGTATGTTAGCAAAAGTAAATATTTTTCCGCTTATTGTAAATACTTTCACCATTGCAAATTTATTTTGAAGCTTCTTCATAAACAGTTATCAATACTTCGTCGCTTCTTTTTGGACAAATGTATTCCTTTTAATTATTGGTTTACACAAAATATACTAGGAATATTATAATTTTTACGATTACAAAGAACACCGGCTGCTACTAAGTACTAAAACGTCTTTGTACTGGGGAAATTCACACTCGACTTTCTCCATCGAAGTGGTGGCCGCTTTTGACAGTGACAAGAGAGTTTCATTGCTGATTCTTATCTAAGCTGTGGTAAGAGTTTGTTTTTCATTATACAAGTATTAATGCAGATTTATTAGTAGCGAAAAAGGTTGCTTTAGATACATTGCTTAGAAACGTGATCAAACCCCAAGAACGAGGCATGTTGCTCCGTTCTTCGACATTCGATAGTATAGTGGTCTGGTGACCGAACTCAGTGATGCATTGAATATTTCCCCAAAATACTTCGTAATGCATATTGACACTTAACAATTCCTGTAGTTTAGTTTTCAGTAAAATAACGTATTAAAATACATAGTAGCAAAAATGTTGTCGTCCGTCACCACTACTCGTCACGTCACGTCACGTTGGCCCCAACGTTGGCCCCAACGCCACTCGCCCAACGTGTGTATCTATAAAATAGCGTTGGCCCCAACGTTGGAGCGACCGTTGGTAGTTGGCTGTCGATTGTCGGTTTTATCAAAGGAATCTGCGCCAACGTTGGCAATCCGTCCACATATTGGCTCACTGGCTCAGTCTTGTTGTAACACGCGTCGAGTGCGTATGTGGAGATATGTCATCAACAACATCGCTACCCGCGTGGACAAACGAAAAAGTTGTAGAATTTTTAGAGTTATACCAGGAGCATCCAAGCGCTTAGAGCAATTTCGGTTTCAGTGTCGGACATCTTCACATTGGCTCTGACAGAAAGGAACTAGTATAATAACCAACGTGTGGACGCTTCACCAACTTAACCGACCAACGTTCGTACCAACGTTGGGGCCAACGTGTGGAGCCGGCGTTATTAGTTCCATGGCGTCCATGATTTGTCACTGATTTTCTATAATAATAATCAGCAATTAATCGGAATTCGCCGAAATCTACATCCGTGTAGTAAAGTACATGCTTTCCAGGCTCAAGTCTTACTTTTCAATCTTTGATGTTAACGTGAGTTCACCGTTCGCATAAAATAACCTATATTGATTACAATACACATATAGCAGCGGCGAGAACTGCCCTTATTTATTCGTTCCCAGACGCTACTATATTACGTTAAAGTTACTTTCATATTAATTTAATTTTGCTCAAAAGCTATTCTGTATTTTAAATGTTACATTTTGGCCTATAAGTATTTCAGGCGTAACAAACAGGATTTTATGTTATTTGGCATGTTGGAAAGTAGGATACCTTAAGCTGGCGAACGCAAAAACTTAACCTACACATGTTTTTTAGTACATGCTTCTATAATCAAAACTGTGAGGTGTTTTCCGGAAAATAGGAAAAGCCGGATTTTCGCATGTTGTTTTCAATATTTTCCAATTTCTTTTGTCAGGACTAAATACTGTATATAAGTATTCATTTATTTTATGAGATTCGTTTATTTCTCGTCCAGTAAATCGCCAAAAATCGTAAAAAAAGTTAAAATTGTAATTTGTTTCCTGGAACACCGCGAAAATGGGAAAAACCGGATTTTATCATATAATCGTCAATCTTTGACGTTTTTTGTCGTGGACGGAATACTTGACCAACAGGGTAATCTACTGTATGTATGTAGTTTAGAAGTTCTCTACAGTTCCGTTGACATAATCGTGATTTATTGTCTGGAAAATCGCCAAAAATGGAAAAAACCGAATTCTCAGATAAGTTGACATGTTCACCGATTTTCTTCAATTTTTGACATAATTGGAGTAGAATATCATAACTTGTGTGGCTCAAAAAATCAATGTTCATAGGCATTTCAGTGTATTCCTTCAGATTCCATTCTCTAAATTGTGATTCGTGGTCCAAACAATCACGAAAATTGGAAATACTGCATTTTCGCTGATTTTTCTTAATTTTTAACATTCCAGATCAGGTGAAGAACACTATGCTAACACGGCGATTCACTAAATACATAAATGAATTTTTACATTCAGTTGTTAAAATAATTTTTGCAGAAAACCGGCAAAAATCGGAGAAAACCGCATTTTCACTGGTTTTCTTCAATTCTTGAGAGGAATATTATAAATTTACTAACTCAAAGACTCCATGGAGACATCATGTATTTTAATGCATTGTTTCAAGTTTCATTGTAGTTTCCAAAGAGAATTGGTAAAAATCCAACTATTGTCACTGTTCTTTATAATATTGTTATTGTTCTTGTCGTTATTGATGCTGCTTTTCCATTATTATTCTTGTTACTGTTCTTACTGTTCTTTTTCTTGATACTGTTCTTGTTATTACATCTAATTTCTGATATCAGAGTAACTTGTTTTAATCTTACCTTATATAGACTATTCCTTACGATAGTTAAACAGACATTCCAGGGCAATATTCGTCTATTTTTATTATCCACAAGTCTATGCTATCAATTGGAACAATTAGCAAAAATGCAGTTTTATTGATTTTTGCGATTTTCCGAACAAGGAATCATGACTCTGACAACGGAACTAAAAACAGCGTTAGTGAGTTATTGTTTTAGCATATTCTGATCTAAAATGACAAAAATTGAAAAAGGTCCATAAAATGCAGTTTTTTTCCATTTACGCAATTTTCCGGGCAACAAATGACAATTTTCGCAATGAAATATGAAACAATGAACTAAAATTCGTACATGCATTGAGTTATTGAGTTAGCCAATTTATGATATCCTACTTTGAACATGTCTCAAATTGGAAAAATTGGTGAAAATACAGTTTTTCCAATTTTTTGCGATTTTCCGGACAAGAAATCACAATTCTGACAACAGAAGTAAAAATAACGTAAAGAAGCACGTATATGCACTGGGTTACTCTGTTAGCCAAGTATTCCTTCCCTCACAAAAAACATAAAAAATCGAAGAAAATATGTGAACATCCTATTTTCCGAGAAACAAATCATAATTTTGACTATGGAACCTGGAAGAATGCATAAAAATTCATATGTTGATAGAATTTTTGAGCTACCCAACTTACTGTATTCTATTTTTAAAATGTCACAAGTTGAGGAAAATCGGTGAAGTCGCGGTTTTTCCGATTTTTGGCGTTTTTCCGGGTAAAAATACGTGATTTTGTTAGTAGATCTGAGAGCGCTCATTAAAAGTTTATTTCAAGTACGCGAAATTTTCATTACATAATCTACAAATCTATAAAAAGTTACATGTATGTAGACGGTAGGAATGCAGCTTTGGTGGTTTTTCATTTTTTTACAAAAGGCGCCTCAAAGAATATTTTCAAACAAACATGTCTTTGAGGTTAGGGGCTATCCATCTGAAAAATAGGCAATAGTGATTTAACCCAATGTACCTTAGGTTGGATTGAAAAAGTTTGGATACCTTTGGGCGCAATTTTCATATGTTGTTTCGCCTATAGCCTTTGATTTCAATGGTCTAAATTCATTTAAAATTTGGCCTCTGGAGTAGGCGTCGCTATAGGATTAAAGAATATAGGCTGATGAAATTCACAGTTTATTTGAAAAATTATTTATATGGGAGTAATTGAAACTACCATCGCAAACTTATTTGGAAAACATCTAGAATGGGAGCAGTATTGTGTCTTTTAACATTAACTCCGCAAGTTTATTAGACGAACAATTTGGCACCGACTTTAAAGGGAAATGGACGGTCTCGTGGGGGGATTTATGGATGTAGTCTGGTGAAACTGGCTTCGTAAGTTCATTTGGCGGACTAGGGCAGATGATGTAGTTGTGGGGATTAATGGATATAGTCTGGTAAAATTATTTTCGCAAGTTTAACATTCAAACACTTTAAACGGGAGTAGTAGTTTTCTCAGGACGGTTACAAGTAAAAGTATACCGGAGCTCGTAACTTCACAAGTCTATTTGGCAACCACCTGAAACTGGAGTTGTCGATGTCGTCGGATGTATGAGGATACAGTCTGGTGGAATTAACTTCGCAAGCTTACTGGCTGAATATGTAACGCGAACTGGAGTCAATGCCATTGTGTGGATTAAGGGATATAGTCTGATGGATGATTCATCGAACTGGATCATCCGACGACGTCGACTACTCTTGTTCGAGCTGTATGCCTAATAAACTTATTCACTTATTATCCACTCGATGCTTTTTTCTATACGTTATTGTCTGCTAGAGAGGCCCATAGTAGGTACCTTGCTCTTGGTTAAAGTATTTTAGATCACTATGTCTGTCGCGTCTGGTTACCCAGGTGCAAGTCATACACAAGACAAGGCAAGGGAGGGTAGAAAGTGCTTCGGAGGGAAGCTAAAATTATAAATTTGGTTCGACCTAGAATGGCACGATTCATTTTTTGTTCACAGTGTGAGCCGCAGTCCTGTGATTAAAAACTTGTTGCTTGACCGTGTAGCCTACTGACATATGGTGTACGATTTCCCTTGACTGCATGCTTGATGGCACGACTACTCCCGTTTGAGGTATCTGACAGGTGATCTTATAGAGAGGATTTTGTTGTTTTCATGCGAAATTATCTTCTTACGTTACAAAAAGGTGGTAATTAGCAATATAAGTATTATGCGGAGTAGTAGCCTAAATAAAATGTTTGGTTCAGTATGGATTTCATGTATTTGCTCTAGATTCGTTCAGCAGTACAACTTAACAAAATTGAAAATTTCCATATATAATATAAATTAAAAATTGTCTAAGGATTTAATACAAATACAGTTATGGTATATTTATTATAAATCATATGCTCGGCGCTGCTCATCAGTTAACAGCCCAGCAATTGCTCAGCATCTTCAACTATCTGTTAACTTATTTTGCAATATCTCCACTTCCGTATCACAACTGACTGCGGAAATCGTTATCAAAATGAATTTCGAGGTAGTCGTATTCAAACCAGTCGTACTAAGTACATTTAGGGTAAAACATTGAAGATGCTGAGCTTAAGAGCAGCCAGAGCCGCCAACTATAGCATCCCGGACACAAGGACAAGCAATTTAAATACACATGCACTCACACCTTTCATCCCGTTAGATCTTAGTGACAACACATTCATATCAGATCGTCCTTGAATCCTTGAATGCTCAGCGACATCTTTAAGTAGGATGCAACATGCTTTTTCCGGCCCAAATACATATACGCCATAATGATCCATTATTCCGTTGTTTCATGCATAAGAGCTAACTAGCAGCTCTTCTACATTTTTGTCTGTCTAGGCTAGCATATCTCACATTTTATAGAAATATGTATTAACGGATTTCAGAGTTAATGGAAAGACGCCTCATCAGTACATAGAATTTTTTTTTTTTATTTAACTGTAAGATTAGAAAAAAGTTTCAGTAATCTACAAAAAAGTTGTAGAGACAGAACATACCCTCAAAAGCTGTTGATTTGTAATTGACAAAAAGTATAAAACCATCGATATTAAAATGTATTTTTTATTAAAAGGTGAATAAAAGCAATTCTAGAATAATAGCAAAAAAGAGTCTGTACTGACTAATATCTGAAAAATTTATCAAGAAATGCTAGTTTTTTACTAATGCTTCCCATAAAAATTGTTTTTAGTTGCTTTTTTAATACTCTGGCCATCGACGTTACTACTATCTCATATTGAACATATACAGCTCTTCTGCAGATTATTCAAGTGATGATTTCGTCGTTTTCTTCATTGTAGGCAGAGTGATTTTTTAAATTTTGACGTTTAAAATTGTTATTTACCCCAAACGATATAATCCCATCTTAAATCCATCTGAATATTTTTTTCATAAAATAGACTCCTTTTTGGCTAGTTACTGTAATCTAAGTGTGGTATAGGAGTATGATATCTTCGAACAGTGAACCTACTTTAGAAAAGCACTGTCTGACACTTTCTTGATCTACCATATTCAGGTATCTGTATTTGGGCCCTGCTGTGAATAAAAATGTAAGACCAGAACCAAAAATAGTGATGCTAGTGTAGCATGTCCTTCTCAAGTGAGTGTTCATGGTGCAACTACAGTACAGTTTCGAGTAGAAGCGAATTTCTGGTTCCTAGCTGGAATTCACCACGAAGATGTAGTAACTCAGTGACGAGGATACCCAAATCCTTTCTAGAATAATAACCTGGCTATCAAATAATTCTGTTTTAGGCAAAATTCTGTTCTATGAATAAATATGTACTATATAACCAGCAGTCCAAGAAAGTCAGAAAATGTAGATACTCCACTGAAGAAGCATCCGCAAATAAAATGTTCTTACTTTATCAGAGTGAGATTACAATTTACTTTTTTAGAACCAAATGACAAATTACTCTGTTGGACATCTTTGACCAATTAATCACATAACACGCCTAATAAGCTTTCTTTCGGAGGATCCCTAATGAGTAGTTGATGTTGATGAGAGTAAATCGGTTAATTAAATGAACTTGAAGTGTAAGTATTTAAGTACTCGTTTCTTGTACTCGAGGATAGTAACTGGACCTGCTTATTGTAACAAATAGAGACAAGGCATTGGAATATCCTCAATCTCCTGGATGGAAGTAACTTTTGGGAAGGCATTTTTTTGTTTCTGACTCAATATTGGTGGAATAAACCAACATGTGTTAGGTACATTCTAAAATTAAGTTAGTACTGTTTTAGCGGTATCGGTATTTCAATACAATGCGGGTTTTCTCAGATCTAAATATCTAAAGCCACACAGAGCTGCTGGTTACACCACAGTGTGACTGTGTATAGGGCTATCACAGAACTGTGGCATGTTATTTTCTCAAAAATAACCCTTTACATGCTATCAAAATGAAAGTGATTGTGTTAAACAACTTTGATATCCTTTTGCGTCTTCTCTGACCTAGGCAACGGGTTTTCCTCCTTCCGATAACAACTTAGCAGCTTCCTACAATCTGTTTGACTATAGATATTTACATAAGAGCATTTTCTCTCGATGTATAAGATAATCTGATAGAAGCAAAAAAATACAGTTTTATAACTACCTGTTCTTTCAAGGGCAAAACTTTTGTAATACACCCAAAAAATATTATCACTCTCTACAGCACAGTAGAATTTTTTTTTGCAATACTCAATAACACTGAGCTATAAAGGAGTTGTTAGCAGACAATAGGGCAAGAAGACTATAGAAGTCATTCATTAACAATGAAAATAAACCCAACACTATATTATTGAACGGTTTTGAGTAGCTTTGAATAAACAATACAAAACGTGATAATATTATTTGAGTATATAGCAGAAATAAAATAATTGCACATAGGCCATCATGAGAAACGTTAACTCTATGCTATAGCTAGATATCTTAATTAAAATATATTTTTATATATCATAAAGCTAGAAATCGAAAAACGTTATTTCTATCATCACTTTTATAATCATCTTCAAAAGTATATTTGTTAGTGCTGATTTTCAATTTCGATCCGTCAAAAAATACCAACATTTCCGTCATTCATTCATAGCTAGTTCAAAAATAAAAATAAACAGGCGCTAAATACTTTCCTATATAGGAGTCTACAAAATTCTTCAAGCAAGTTTAAAATTATCCATGTTTGCAATGTCACAGTAAAGTGATTCTGATGGGGATTTTTCGGAAAGTTGGTTAAAGTGTTCGCCAGACATATGTGTTTGAAATCTTGTTAGCTTAGAACGAATGATGTTAACATCATGAAAAGCATGCAGGTAAAGGTTACACGCGCGATTCTGGTGTCGAATATCTATAACATATTCAATCAAAGCTCAAAAACAACTAACTTAGAGTAGAAGTTAGTTCACATGTCACTAGTTGACTTTTAATGAAAAGTATATTTTTGACACGTGCTAACGTTTTTAACCATGAGTAAGGCTAGTTAGTACATCATAACCCATTTAAACTGGCTAAAACAGCTGATATTTTTTCCGTACTTTGAAATTATGATTTCGAAAATGTATTTTAATTCTTATGTTTGTAGTATGGCAAGATGTATTGCGATATATGGTTTCAACAATAACTGCTGCTCAGTATATTATTTATAGCGTCTTACACCTTAAAATGGATGAACAAAGTTCAATCTTGTTTAGTACCGATATACATGAATAAATTTGAGAGTTTCAACCAATCATAAAAATGAATATATGATACAATCGTGTTTTGTTTGAGAGCTTGATATCTTTTTATAGTGAAACGTATCCAACCGTTACACGATTACGAGTATAAATCCGTGGGCAAAATTAGTAAACCTAAAGTGGGGCTGCGTGTCTAGAATCGGCGTTGGTGGGTGTACCTGAAACAAAAAGAGAACAATTAAACCTAAAGCATTGTAACTGAACTATAATCTTACTCTTAGATCTGTTATTATAGTAACGCGAAACTTTACATCCTGAGTTTTTAGTATGGGCTCAAACGATATAATAACGGAGTTCCGTTATTACGCCTGGTACCCAATAAACTTAATTACAAAAATTGTAGCCAGCAGTCTGATCCTCAATTGGAAGATATTTTTCTCTGTACAGGGTAATTCATAACTACGTGGTGACCCAAACAGAATAGAAATCAAATCTCTACCTCTAAATTTCATTGCAGATTTGCACATACCCTTTAAAATGAAACAATTTCATATAACACACTATAGGGTTTACTTTGAAATTGTTGAGATACTGGAAAATCTATCGGAACACTCAACTTTGAAAACTGACACCTCAGCAACTGTTATAGCTAGATTACTGAAATTTTCGTCAGAAACATTTTATGAGCCCTTGTTTTGTTCCTATGTACTTACTTTTTCAGTTTTTTGTATAGTTTATACAGGATCGTCGATGGAAAGGTGAATAACTTCTTAGAATTCTTTAATGGAATAAACAATCTGTATATTTTCACGTTCCTTGATTCTCCTTTCTATGAGATTTTTTGTTGATACTATTTCTATAGGGATTTGTACGACTGGTATTTGAGCTACAATTGAGATTTTTGTAAGTCATGGATCGGGGTGAATCAAAATTAATACAATATCTTTCAAAGTAAAAAATTGTATGTACTGGTAAATCCTTAGAATTTTATAAGCCTTACTCAATAAAGACAAAAAGTCATGAAGACAGCCCTGTATTTTTTGTAACTAAAAAATCAGACGAATAAACCACTATAAACCTTATGTCACAAAAAACTTGGGAAAAGGGGAATAAAAAAATGTGAAAATATACAAGATTTGGTTTGGCCTTCTTGACCACCATATACGAGTTATCCAAAAAACTGAAAAAGTATGTAGATAGGGACAAAATACAGGATAGTGAAATATGTTTGGCGAAAAGCTCAGTATTTCAGCTGTAATAGTTGCGGGGGTACAAGTTGTCAAAGTTGGGTATTTTTCGATAGATTATCCAATTATCCAACAATTTGGAAGTGGAACCCTATAGCATATATATCCAAATGCTTCGTTTGAAAATGGCTATGGAACTCTGCATTAAAATGTAGGGCATTTCATTTGAAAAACTACATTTTTGGGTCACCATGTAGTTATGAACCACGCTGTAGAAACAAGAATATATTCCAAGTAAGGAAGATGCTGTTGGCTACAATTTGTTATTAACTTTTTTAGATACCATTAGTAAGAACGGAGTTATCGACAGAGCTCACAGTGGAAACTCACTTTGTAAAATGTATCTCAAGGAAATGTATAAATTAAGATTTTTTATAATATCAAAGCAAATGGGATACCTGTCTGTAAAAGTTAAGCTGTCAGGGCGTTCATGTGGCAAACAAAAAGTAAATCGTTTAAATCGCCTTAAGGACTAGCATTATTCTTATACGAGGACAATGCTTGAGGGTCGTTTGTAGTTAGTTGATCAACGCACCATTGTCCACTGTTCCTTTCTGTCTTTCGCGCTTATTTATAATTCTAACGAGTTGCACCTTCTTGAGGAAGTCGATTGGCTTGGCAAGCAGTGCTATTCAGATTCTCTATTTGAACCATCCTTGACCAAACAGATTATATCTGACTGTCTAAAGCTAGACATCTGTTGATAACTTCTTTCGCGGCTTCTATTCCCTCTAAGCGCGTATAGAATTTGGGGGTTTTTACTGCAGTATCACTGTACAGTGACAGATGTTAAAAGTGGCTTCAATCTAAGTTAGCACAGTGACGCCACTATTGTTTATGACAAGGCACACGAAGTTCAAGCATTATGGATACTTAAAGTACTTTTTGTTTTATGCAGTAACTATACTGAAGATATCTAATACAGATGAGTTCAGAAATAAATACGTTAATAAGCTAATCGATCTCAATCTGTCTGTGACAAATTGGTTAAGGCTTTCGCGGCCAGTTGATAAACTGCTGTCTTGATTTGGGTCTAAAGGCCGTCGTCGGTTGTAATTTCTTCCTAACGTTTCGCTAGCACGAGTGGCAAGCTTCTTCAGAGTTCCTTCCATTTCTGATGCTGGATGTAGACTGCCGATTTCACACACACCCTCCTACCCTGTGCGGTCCCTCCACCACCCATGTTCCAGGCAACCTCAAACCCTTGAGGATTGGGGGGAGGAGCAATCTCCCTCCTCTCCCGCCCGAAGGCCTGGAGTGGCGCTGCGTGGTTCAGGCCGCTGCGCGTTCCCCAAGTGTGTGCTGCCGAGCGAGCTACCCCCTCCCCAATTTTGCTCCTTTTCTCCGAAATTGACTCGATCGTGCAGGCGTCGCGGAAGCACGTGGTGGACGTTTCATCCAACTGTCGGTTCTCGACTTTTATGGACGGCCTGTTTCGTTGGGGGTCCTGCGCTTGGGGCTTTGACCTAAGCCCCGCATTAAGGTTGGTGAGCCTTCGCTCTTTCCTGGTCGACTGGAGTCTTCGTCTCTTGAGGTTAGCCTCGAGTCGGTGGTGCTTGACTCTGGCCACCTCAATCGACAGACTGTCAATTTCTCTTGCGCAGGTTGTATTTATACCGGAGGGTAGGGGACGTGGCTTGTTCCGCTTCGGTTGACTTTGGCATGTCGATCGGCACTGCTCGGGAGTTTCTGAGGATCGGGTGCCAGATCGGGTTAAGTCTGACAGTCTCTTCCTTCCTGTTGAAGTTAACTGGATGTTTGTGAATCTCGATAGCTTCCCTGACCAGTCTATTGTGATAGCCGTTGACTGATGACAGCAACCTGCAGCTCCCAAAGTGTACCCTGTGGTCCCCATTGCTTAGTGCACGTTCAGCTACCGCAGACTTCTCAGTTTGTCCTAGCCGGCAATTTGCTTTGTGCTCCTTGAGTCTCGTTCCCATTGATCTTTTCGTGGTTCCAATTTATACTTTGCCGCATGAACACGGTATGCGGTAGACTCTTGCAGCTGAGAGTGGGTCCTTCTTGTCCTTTGCCGATCTGATGGTTTGTTGGATCTTCTTCGTAGGCTTTTCATTGCTTTATTGTCCTGTCTCTTCAGGACGCTGCTCGGTTTCACATGGCCTGGCTGACCTCGAGCCCATTGATCTTTCGATGTCCCTCTTGCTGTAGCCATTTGCGTAGAACGCAGTTTTGAGGTGTTCAAGTTTTGTCTGGAGGTTCTCCGGTTCGCAAATTCTTCGAGCTCGTTCTGTCAAGGTTCTGATGACTATTGAAAATGACATGTTTGCTTTCCGTCTACTGTAACCGCAGACAGCACTGTTTCGTACTCATTAGCAACTCATCAGTGCGATGTATGTAGGTCTTACGTTTATTCGTGGAGACAGGCGAAACTGGAAGCAATCAAGTGGATTCAGTCTTTTGAAAAAATGCCCGAAACATTTTGCGCAAGTAGATGGTAATCTGACGATCACCACCTAATAATGGATTGCCAAGCTGATTTTTAGCATCATCTCTTACGATAAAGATATAGAAAGACTATTACGCTCTCTAGCTCATACCGGTTGACGTTCTGTGTTCCATCCTTACTATCACAGTTATAGTCCAGGCTTGATAAAAAAAGGTGAAAAAAAGTTTTGCAGATATTTGAAACTTTTAAATGGAATGGGGTCTTTCAAATGTCATGTCATTATGTGTCTGCCGTTTTACTTACCCTGCATCGTACAGCTTGCACAAACTGTCCGCGCGACTGGCTGGCGGCATGCTAACGCTGACAGCTGACATGGTGTCCTGGTGTGAAAGTTTGCTGTTGAATTTCCTGCGTTGCCAGATAAAGGTCCATGCGGCGATGATTGCCAATTGGGCAGAGAGGAAGATGGTTGCGGCCACGATAAGGCCAGCGACGTTCACGCAAAGTCCTCCATCGGCTATATATACTGCTTCACTGCCGCTGCTTGATCTGGAGAAAATCCGAGTTAGTTAGGAAAATGAACAAACTAGCAGGTTCAAATGCGTGTGACTATGGGACCATGCAAATATTACGTAAGCAGATTTTTTACAGTAAAAGTAAATAAATCGCTTAAGTAAACATTTTGCTACATTTTACCATTTAAAGCAAGTATTGACTCTCTCGCACATGTTCTGAATAACATTTAATGTCTGGAAAATGAGTAAGATATGGCTCGCCCTACCCAACATATTTTGCAGTAATACAATAATCATCAATTACTATTGAAATCTACACCTCTGCTCTACATTTCTGGCAAACCCGAAATTGAGTCTTTTTGAATGTTCATTAACTGTAACGCAACGTTCTTCCAAATGAGACAAAAAAAGCTCATGAGGCAATATGAAGTCAGCCAGGAGGATTTGTAGCTAAGATTTGGAGCGAGTAAGGATATCCATACTTGGGGAAACTCAGAAGATGCGTTTTGCTTTCGACGTCCGACAAGCAGAGTTGCCATATGTGTTCAAATCAAAATCGAGTAAATTTACTTTATGGCCTACCTTAGGGGTGGATAGTATGGTTTGATATTTACTCGAATTTGCATATGCAGACTATATTATATCTTTTGATCGGGGTATCCTGAGGCCTTTGAGGTTACTCATTTCGATTTCAGAGGCCAATAATACGTAGAAATCCGCCAAAATTTGTACACACTCTGAAAGGTTCTTTGGAGAAGAATAACTTTTTTCTTGTATTTTATTTTCCTCATTTTTATGTCATTTAAGTATTAGTCCAAATCGCTGATCGCTTTGATAGACCAACTAATTGAATTTTAAGAACAAAAGTTCAATTGAACGTAGGTATGTCCTAAGAGTCTTCACTTTTGAGATTCAGAGCGTAAAGCTTTCAATTTAGAATGACAGTGGTACGCCGATGAATTTGCTTGAAACAAAAAATATGTAATCTGTATTCATATATAGGTGATTTAGGACTGAATCGTCAGTAGTTCCTACATTATCGGACGCCTTTACGGCCTCCTTAATTTTGATAGTATTTTTTTTCTTTCAGAATGGCTTGGATATTATTTATAGATGTCAGCGTCAGCGGTCTCATATTGTGAGGCTATTTTTTCTTTATCAATTGTAGGAAATCAAAAACATGTTCAATTTAAGGCAAATATATATTGGTAACAACCTCAAAATAGAGTGCTGACACGGAATAGTAGAAATCTAGACATACGCCTGCCTTTCTGAGGGACAGGAAAAGCTATAAAAATCAAGAAAGCCATAAAGGCGTCCCACAATTGAAAGAACGACTGACGACATGGTCCTGAATCTCTTGAATTCCCATGCACGGCTTTCACTGAAGAAATGAAAAAATAATGGTCATTTCTCTGCATGGTGATATTATTTGTCATATTAACGATATTGATATGATTCTGCAGAGAAACCATTTTTGTTTTTTAAGGTAATTAAGGTAACACCGTGCACTATCGGAAATTAAGGAAAATAGACATAGTACATTGAAAAATGCCTCTTTATATGTAGTTCATGTATATCAATTTTCATTAACTACAGTGATACCGAGAGATATTGATAATAAGTGACTCTTTTCTAAAAATGTTATCACCTTGAAAAAATATAAGATTTTTAGGATATACATTCATGACAAGTTTTTATCTTGAAACCCAAAGCTCGCTTTATCAAATGTTGACATTCAGTTAGGTATATTAATACTTGTGAAATAACAGGTAACTTCCAGTTTTGTTAATTTTCCAAACCAGCATATTTATAAACTTCATCATATTCCACATTTTATAATAAAGGCGAAAGGTGCACGATTATTTAAAAGCAGTGATTTATCCTCTACTTAAGTGGATGAGCGAAGAATATCTATACTCAATCTACCAAAGTCAGTATAAGAACTATGGTGGTTTCAAGGTATCTTCATTACAGCATAAAGACACCACTTACCTATTAGCACCTTTGTCGAAGCCAAACTTGTCCGTAATCTGAATGGACTGTACCAGGAGCATATCATCGTGCGCAGCTGAGGAGGAGACACTCCTCCTGCGCCTACGCTTCCCGTAGGACACTGCAGACCTCCGCTCTCCAGAAATGTCCTCCTGATCGCACTGCACTGGCTCACAGCTGGGCATGCATGGGGTGACTAGGGCACGGAATTGAACCACTTCGCTGGATGGGAACTTGAAGGCGTCGAAGTGAGACAACAAGATCTGGAAAGGTGTGTGTAAAAGTTCATTTGTACTGAATCACATGTTCATCTTGGGACAATACAAATATCTTAAGCTAAATTTCTTCTTCTTCTCTTCGTCATCGTCTGTCAGAGCGGTCCGTAGGACCTTTGCTCCTGGGTAAAGTATCGTAAGCTATTAGGTCTGACAAGTCTGATTGCCCAGATATCAGTCAATGTCAGGGAGAGAGAAGTGAAAAAGAAAGATGGGAAGGAAGGAATTGGAGGAAAAAGTGATGCAGTTTGGCGTCTTGGTATTGTCTACTAGTATTCTGGAATTTTAAAGTTATCCTATAATTAATTTTGAGATAGGTTGAAGTAAAAAAAATGTAATATTGGATCTAAAATCGCTTGATTTAATTATATTCACTGTGCGAACCGCGGTCGTGTGTACTTGCGAACTTGCTCGACTGTGTAGTCTACTGACTCACGTAACAAAAGGTGACACAATAATAAACAGAGTAACCTAGATTACTGCCAACACTCATGGGCGTTACAATGTCGAGCAGAAAAAAACGCTAGTGAACGCGCGCGACTATTTGCTGTTCACATGGAACGCTTTTCGATGCGCGTCGGTAAGCCGTCGCAAGAGTTTAGCATCTGACACAACCCGAACTGTCGCGATGCAAAACGGGCCTATTTAACACCCGTGTGTACGGGCAGCTATAAGTTTCATAATCAACTGTTTACATGACATGTAATGCAGAGTAAATACGTCTAAACAAAATAGCAATTATTCCAGGCAAATTATGGTTTGAAGTGGATGTTTTCTGAAGTAGAAAACATTTCTATTGGGGATATTCTAGAACGTAGGGGAAAAGGTGGTAATGGGAGTCACTTAAGCAAGATATAGAATAAAACACACAAATTTTACTTCATCTTTATTTTAATCCACTTTTAAAGTATTTTAATCATTACACTATCAGTTTCAAACAGTTTAATTACCTTTGTAATTATATATTAATTAACATTAAACTTAAAAAATAAAACATCTTTGACCACCATTGTCCATATCTCAGGGTAATCATAGTCACTATGAGGATAATGAGAGGCTGACTCTAACCTAACAATTGTCACATACGTAACCTTTTGGCGAGTCCCATCCTTTGCAACTAGCATGTGCCCATAAGCCACAAGAAGTGCATCTGTACCATACGTCATTGTTGCCACCAAATTCATCACATACCAAACATTTATTCAAATCGTCGACTTCATCATCGTCACATATCTGATTAAGACTAATATCTGATTCTGATTCTGAAGGAGTATATAGATCTTGAAGTACGCGCCTTTTGGCCTTATATCTTTCTTAGGTTTCTGCTTCTTGCTAGCTTTCGGCATAAGGTCTGTTCCTTTTGCTGCTCTATATGCTTTCTTATTTTGATGTGTTGATGTCATAATTTTTGCATGTTGCTTCAATCGTCCTTTTCTTATGGGATTTTCAGGAATCATTTTGATAGGTAATGGAAGCCGATCTTCAATATTAGAATTCAATATTCCAGGAGATAACGTTGCCGATGAAGCCGATGGTATTGAGTCAACTGCTATTGATGATATTGATGGCATATAATGTATTTCTTCTAACGATGTAGGTGTTAAATTCGTTGTAATCGATGAATTACACGGCATTGGATGTATTGTTGCAGATGATGTGGATGGTATTGGATCTGTTGGAGCAGACGTAGATGGAACGACGATTGAGGTATCTTGAATAATTACTTCAGGTTGGGTTAAGACTTCAGCTGCGGTAAAATCTTCATCAGAAAAAATATTCGGATTATAAGGGATAATACCTGATGCCCAGGATCCTGATTGACCTTTATTTATAGATGCCACGGTAGAATATCCTCTATTTAAAATAGCCGCCATGTCGTATGAAGTTATTTTCTTTGCAAGGCGATTTTTCAAAAATAAATAAATCGCACTCCTTTTTGTGAATAGCGTTAAGAGGACCAAAAAATGTGAGATCTAATGGCTGCACCTTGTGGGATGTATGTGGAGGCAGTGACAGCATATGTATATTATTTTGTTTACAAAAATCATAAATCATCAAAGAAGTATGACTGGCGTGGTTGTCAAGTATTAATAAAACAGGCGCCTGCGACGATGGCTTGGTATACATGGCAAAGTGTTGCTGCTATTCAAAGAATAGATGTTCATTAATCCACCCATTATCTGAACATTTGTATATAGCTCCTGCAGGTCCGTCTTTCTCAAGCTGAGGAGTCATTTTTAACTACCAGCAGCGCTCATGGCACACAATAATGCAATATTTTTTCCTCTTTCCCAACTTGTTATGGAGCCAACTCTTTTCATGCCTTTGGGAGCTAATATTTTTCCAGGATCGTGCACTGTGAAAATACCTGTCTAGTCGCAGTTATAAATATTATTAGGAGTAAATTTATATTTGTAGATTAGTCTGTAGAACAGTTGGACTTCGTCTTTATTGAAAGCCGTTATTCTGTTGATACTTGTAGCTTCAGGTTTCCGAACAGAGATGCTATTTCTTTTTGAAAAGCCATCTAGCCAATCGCGCCCAGCGATTTTAGCACTCTTGTCAAAATTTTGTGAAATTTTGAGCCCTTCTGCAAATTGATATGCTCCTTTCCTTATTTGAATCGCTTAGACTTCATAAAAAACAGAAGATAAGTATTTTATCCGGTCTGACAAAACCTTTTCTACATCTGCTGTGAATACAGGAAGTCGTCCGAGACGTGGTTCCGATGAATTGTTCTTCTTTAACCGGTTTTGGAGGCTTGAAAAAGGTATATTCATAGCTTTAGCAGCACTTCTCATAAAGTGGCCTTGACTCATGAGAGCCTCGGCTTTTGACAGTGTTTCAGATGACCACCGAGCCTTATTTGTGGACCTGTGACGTACTTTCGGCATTTCTGGAATAGTAGTTAACGAGAATTAATTTTTTCAGGTATGTTACATACATTATTGCGGGCAATGAAAGTCAACTCTCATTGCCCTCACTACAGTGACTCTTACTATCCGATCGTACTAAATGTGTAACAATTTAAATTATAAATTTAATTTGCTATTAAAATACCAGAAATGTTTGTTAATTCGATAATATAAGCTTAAACGCACACAATAATCTACTCTAAGTATTTAAATTTTATGTATTGATGTACTTACCGCTTATTTTGTGTACACGTAAAATTATATCAAATGAGCGCAAAACTGCGCAACGGCCTTCCCGTGCAAACGATGGACGCGTACTGAACGGGCGAGCGGGGGGCACGAGTTGTCATTTAAGGAGTCTTTATGGACTATTGCCCTCTGACTCTCATTGCTCTTTTTCCCCTACCCCTGGTTAGTTAGTTAAAGAAAATAGAATTAAAACAATTGCTGTTTGTTTGTCCTTCTTCTTGCGTTTTACGTCATATCTGAAAAAGTATGGGTTTACCGTAAATAAACAAAACTAAGTTAAAGATTGAGTTGAAGTTTTATATTTTTCTTGTCATCTCAATCGTTGTATTGGATTGAAATTCATTGCTTGATTAAATTCTTATTGTATTGTTATTAAAACTTGAAAATTATTAAAAGTATATGTTTCCATACTGTATAGTTTGGTGTTTCAAAACATATGCTTCCAATGACCTGTCTATTTTTTACAAACCGCTATCAGACTACTACAGTCAATTTTTATGACCAAAAATGGTGAATTAATTACGTTTGTGATACAGGGTGGCCTAAGCGTGTATAATCGGAATATTTCTCAAAAACTAGCGCTGAATTGGTCATAGATTATAGCTCACGGTGCATAAGGATATGTTTTCAAAATATTTCTTAATTAAGGCACATTAGGCTCACCTTTTCTAAACTGATTGTCTACTTAACAATTGATTGCAGTTAAGCTTTAATGAATTTTGTTTAAATACGGCAGTCCACACATCCCCCATTCTTATAGATGGTGTTCCAAGTTTTTCATGAAAACACGCCTGATGTCTTTTTGTCCAAATTTGCCAATTTCTTGAACGTTTTGCTCGAAGAATACAAGGTGATTAGGAAACAAAATGTACCTCTTAATAAAGGATTAAAATTTGTACACCTTGAATATTTTGCATTTTCAGATTTCAGTTCATGAACTTGTTTTTTCAGTGCTGCAGCAAATCAAAAGTACAGTTGTCATAACATGGTTAACATTGTGAAAAACAGACCATTGTGACGCATGACTGAAATGCGTAGATAAGTAGCTGTGAATACTTATTCGTGGTAAAACACTGACTGAAGCATCGACTCCTAGTATTAACTAATCTTTTGAAATAATGTTTAACATGGGAAAGACTTAGGGCATTCATTGGTATTAAATTTTTAAAATGTTATCTGCTCTTCTAATACTAATACTAAACCCACCTTTCCGCTCTTCGCTGACTTGTAAATAGGCCCCATGATGAAATGATCAGTTGGACAACCGTTGGAATCTATCAAAACGATTTCACTGCTGTCAACTCCATCCATAGCCACCAGTTCTCTAACAAAGATTTCGTACGGGCTGTTTTTGTCCAAAATCTCGAATTTCAATGCCAAGGGGTCCCCAACTTCTGCGGATTGCATGATGTCTTCTCCTTTACGATCGGTGATCTTCATCGCGACATTCGGGGAGTCTACAGTAACCTCCTCGGACAGAGCTACGAAGAAAACGGAGTTAATTTATAAATAGGTAACGCATTTTCCTTTGATTCCAAAAGAAGCTACTAGTAAAGCAACACAGTTGGGCCCGATTAATAACTGTTCTGATGCTTAGATTGATCTCATAGTGGTTGTCTAAAGAAAAAGTCGTATTATGATAGTGTAAAAATTGTAGGACTAGACAGCAAGCGTTACGTAAATCTGGGGGTAGTTTCATCTTAGAAGGAGGTCTGTGAATTAAGTGATGAGGCTGGCAACGTAGCGTTCAACCTGGCAATACTGGAGGCGCCGGGGTTGAAGGACAAGGGAACATGTGATTCGCCTTCAGTACAAGTTTGGACTCGCTTCAGCTATTTGGTTATCCGTAGCGATATTTTCTATGAAACAGTTTTTTCTATTGTGTTCTAAAGATGAGTGACATCAATCTCAAGCAACGGTGTGCTATCAGGTTTTGCTTCAGTGTTGGGCACAGTGCAACGGATACTCTTGCTAAACAAGCCTACGACATAGCGTTTTGTCAAGAGCGCAAGTTGTTCGATGGTTTAAGTCAATTTCAGAAGAGAGAGAGAGAGAGTCGATATATCGAAATATCGATAGAATCCGGAAACTTGTGCGTTCATATCGTGTGTTCACAGTCGTAATGATCGGGGAAGATTTAAATTTGTCTCACACCTCTATTCATCAGATCATGAGTAACTGGGTGTTGCATCACGATAATGCTCCTTGTCACACAGCAATGTCAATAAACCAGTTTTTGGCCAGTAAAAACTTTCCTGTGGCTCATCAGCCTCCTTATTCACAGGACTTGGGTCCGTGTAACTGTCTTCTCTTCTCGAAGTTAGAAAATCACCTCAAAGGAACTCATTTTGGGACGGCCGAAAACATTGTAACGGCTGTAACCAACCAGCTGATGATTCCAGTATCGGAGTGCCAACACTGCTATGAGGAGTGGATGAACCGTCTCCAGCATTGTGTGGCTTCCGAAAGAAATTATTTTAAGGGCAACAATATAAAATTTTAACTATATTTGAATAATGAAATTAAAAAAATCAGTTTTGTCGCTTAATATGCAGGCCTCATATTATGTAAACGATCGTATTGCCTTCAGAAGCATCGCAAGTTCAGTTTGTTGGATTTCAACCAAAGTTCAGTTAAATGTGTGACGTAATCAGCAATAACACTCTCAGAAGTGAACTCCAAAATACACGTAAATACAACCAGTAGCTTGCTTTTTGGGATATAGAACTTAGCATACGTTCTATTGCTGGATTATAGAAGAAAAAATGATAACAAATTAGGTGTACTAGATAATTTTGATTAAAAGCTTGGGCTTATTGCTAAGTATGAATCAACTAAAGCTCGGCTACAACCTCAAATTGATCCCAAGCCCACCTGTGCATGGAAACGCATCTCTCAGGGGCTCCAAAGTTATCAGATGGAATCACCATAATAATATTTATTGAGCCTCAAGGGGCTCTAGATTGTATGCATATTCCAATTTCTTCTCTTGAGCTTTAGTACTCATCATACAAGTGCATCCTGGGTATGCACGAAAATTCATATTAGTATCGTATATTTTGGTGACAGGTTTGACTAATGTCATCCAACAAGGTGAAATTTTATATCTTTTATCATTTTATCAACAACGTAGGTCTTCTGCGGGTAAGATACTCATACTAAATAAGATAATGTACCATATACGTAATTATGATGTAGTAATTCAAAAACATGATAATAGTGAACATATGAATAAACAATTTCTAATTTAACTAGTATCCATACTCTATATTTTTCTAAGTGATACAACGAAATAATAATTGTAGAAGACCGAAATAAGTTTAGTGTAAGGTGCTATTTTACTACAACTAAATTCCATAACTATATAATCTTATTACCATACGTGCAACCTTTTCCAAAAAGTGGTATTAAATAAATACTCAAATTTTACTGCTACAACTAAAATTCAAAAATAACAACACTCTAACCGAAGTTCTACGAAACAGACCTGTATGAAACGGAAAGTTGACCGTTATTGATCCTGCTTGTTTGTTCGGATCTGAAAAAATGTCGTTAAATCTTAAAGATTTGACTAATACTTGTGTTATGTTCTACTTTCATTGTATTTAAATCTGTTCGGTACTTTCTGTAGTCTTAAATAATAGCAACTAATTTGATGATGTTACGTATAAATTATAATTACTAATTAAAATAATTGTCAGGTCGCTCTCATACTCACCTGGCGATATGTCTCCATGTACTCCTAGATCCACTTCGTTAGTAACGCTCTTATTGGTTAAATCGTACTGACATGTGACAGCCAATCCCAAATCGCTGCTTGTTACTATCTTGTCGTGATGTTGGATTACGACATCGTTGACGTATCTAAAAGGGATCATAATTAGAGAACTGACGTTTCCATAAATGCGTTGATGTACATTTCAAACAAAATGATGACTAGCCTTCTTGAAAAGCAATTGTATATCATGCTCGTGAAATTCTCAAAAACGATATTTCTCTATAAGTCAAGCTGTCTTTGGGGCTTCTGGGGTGACGAATGCGAATTTCAACCTACCACACAAAATGGAGGTTCTGGCACTTGTTGGTAATGCGACGATAATTTCACGCAACTACCTGAAATTCTGCAAATCCGTAGGACTCATACTTGTGAATTGGAGTAGATTGGCCAAGTAGTTTTTTGAGAATTTCTAATTATTTATCCCAAAATACCTGCATTCCGTCCATCACTACTAGTTTTTTGAGCAATATACAGTGTTCGTTCAAAGAGCATTCCATAGCAAAATACACGTGTTTACCATGCCGATATGAATCACAAACCATTCCGAAAGGTAAATGCCATTTTTATGCGAAAAACGAAAGTTACGTTTTTTTTCTTCTAAACAAATACAAACATTTCGTATTTGTGAGTAATTGAACAAATGCGCTACGATATTCAAGAACCATACAATTCTGTACACATTTTAAAACAAAGCGGATATGTCTATCATCTCTTGTTGCGAATTACTCCAAATACGAAATCTTTGAATTTGTTTAGAAGAGAAAACACGACCCATACTTTTTTGCATAAAAGTGACATTTACCTTCTGGAATTGTTTGCGAATCATATCGGCAAGGTAAAGTAGTGTATTTTGCTATAAAATGCCCTTTGAACTAACCGTGTAGATTGCTCAATAAACTAGTAGTCATGGCCGGAAAACAGGTGTTTTCGGATAAACATTTAGAAATTCTCAAAAACTACTTCACCAATCTACTCCAATCCTGTTGTGGTTACTTATAAGTACGATTCCTACGAATTTCAAATATCTGCGAGAAACTACCGTCGCATTACCATCAAGTGCCAAAACCTGCAGTTTGCCTCGGTTTTCGGCTAAAACTTTTTTGCTATCAGTCGGATCTTTTTACGTGTGGTCTCATTTTGCAGGTCTCATTTTGCAGGTCTCATTTTTTACATAAAAATCTTAAACGAAGAGTTTTTTGTTCGTGACAACACTTTCGATTAAATCCCACAAAAATGTGTGTACCCGCTTTATGCGTTCATGTTTTGAATACCCCCTTGAACAACTTGCAGCAATAAAACCAGACTTTACAATTATTTCGCAAACCAGGCGTGTTTTCGTCTGATATGATTAGCCTATTGAGCATTCAATACTGTTCGTTATCAAAACAGAACGATTCTGTATTTTGTTCCAAGCAGTTTTTGTTTTACTACGGTGAATTCGGCGCATTCGTATCAAAGCAAATCAAATGACAATCGAGCGAAGGTTTGAACAAAACCCATACACGAGGGTAATTTTCTTGAAGTAAGGACCGTTTTGTGATGGGGTCAGACAAAGTTTATTAACTAACGTAAATTGTATCACAAACTGAAATATGAACATTTTTTAATTTTTCAACAGTCTCCATAAACATTTAAACATCGGTTAGGTAAATTGGCGCACCAGCCTTTGGCCGTTAGCCAGTTAGTGACTGATTTTATCAACATGTAATTTTCCAAGCGCTTTACATTAAGAATTTCCTTGACTTTTAGAGAAAGATGGAAGTCTGATGATGCTATGTCAGGGCTGTATGGTGGATGATCTAGTAATTCCCAATGAAACTTGCTCAGTTGCGTCTGTGTTCTCGCCGCAACGTGAGATCAAGCGTTGTCGTGAAGCAGAACGACCCCGCTGGGGAGCAGGCTCCGCCGGTGGTTTGAATAGCGGACCTAATGCAAAAATCTACTTAGTGAATTTCAGCAGGAGGAACTGATTCACATGGCGACAAACAAAGCAGTATAACCACACAATCAACACCTCGAGACGTAATTGCGGCGTGGTCAGGAGACTGGGCAAAAGTGTTTGAGACTGAACTGGCGTCACGTGACAGGATGCGCGGACACGCTGCGAGATCGCTTCTTTTTAAAAATAGCACTGGTATTCCAATCATAACGAGTTGTTTTGGAGCCATCAGTTTGAAGCTAAAATGCAAATGGAGATGTGTCGGGAAAAGTTTGTTTAACCAAGATAAAAATCGCTACTTTGCCAAAAACTACAACAAATTTTTGAAACGGTAATAAGTAGAATCTTTGTGCATACATTTATCATCCCAGAACCTGGTGGTTTTTATTTTGGCAACATTAAAACAGCCTGAGTTATAGAGAAATACCTCTTTCGAGAATTAAACTTCGTCACTCTGCGCTTGATTAACGAGCAGTATATTTACCCTAGAGTCAAAATCAGAGGCCTTCAGTAAATTGTCAGAAACTAAACTTCCTACCAAGGATCAAGCCGAAAATGTCCAAGACACTCCACAAAATCCCAAATATTACGCACACAGCTATTAGAGGTGTTATGGGTCTATAGTTGCTAAAATGGGTCTTTTCCATAGAGGCAGGATAAGCCAACTTCCAGCAGCCAGCTGGAAGTGTAGGACATCTGAAGGAGATGTGCAAGGGTGCAAATAAGATTCAATGCACATCTCCCCCTCCTCTGTCAAACGACACCAGTACCAGCCTGAGAATCATGCCTGGAAGTCATTTCCCCCCTTAGTGTCCATGATGGGATAAACAGCAAAGGTCTACAGCTTGACTCCCTAGGCAGTCTACAAGCGGCAGTTATAGATCATGTGGCCACATTTAGAAGGAACGTCATGTTTAATTATTTTTCCCGTAGCTATTCAATGTCCTTCAAAATACCCCTATTATTCCAGAAAATTTTGCTACTTTTTGAAATTCTCAAAAATTTACTTGACACCAATTCATGGCTCATGGCCCGGGTGGCAGGCTACTAGGGGCAGCTCAAGCCCCCGCAGTCAAAAGTTTTTGCCTTGTTTCGTTGCTTTATGGCTTTATCGCTAAATTTAGCCAAATATTATTATTTAACGGAGCATGCTGTAAAAATTTTTCGCAATGAGTTCAAAACTGTCTTACCTTCCCAATCCATTCTTTCTGACATTACACTCTAAATTATCATACTGCATGGTCAGTTCAAACTCCAAACTGTTGTTCACATCTCTTACGCATGAGTTGGGACTTCCCTTGGCGTACATCTTTCCATCGAACAGTTTGCTGGTTTGGATGCGAGCCACCATATCTCCTGCCCTGCACTCGATACTAACATTGTAGCACGAACTTAACTCATACGTTGCAGCTTCTGGTACGTCCAAGTAGGGTTCCTATAGTCAATAATAATAATAATAATGTTTATTGTCAAACAATATAAAAATAACAATATAAACAGTTGCAATAAACAGGTAGTCCCAAAAAAGTTGAATAACTTGTGCATGGGTTCAAAGCATTATATCTAACTATTCGCGGTTTGTTCTAAAAATTCTGGGGAAAGATCAAAAATCGTTATTTGAAAATTGTCAAAAATCAGAAAAAAATACATTTAAATTAATTTCTATCATCAATATTATAAATCGAAAAATAAATCATGCAACGGTATTTTTCAATTATTATTCAAAATAATGAATATTTCTTATATCTAGCATCTGATGAAAGTCTAAGCTGATTTAAAATCCATCCCCTCAATTCTCTTTTCAATTTGTTATTATGGAGGCATTCTTTCAAGTGTACAGACACTATATTATATAATTTTGGAACAAAGCTGCTTTGTTCAACATTTTTTATAAACTTCGGTACACACACGTGTGCGGTATGATTTTGAGCCGTTGTATTCGTGTTTGACTGGCCTCAGATGGTGTTTATTCTTTACATAATTAAATTAAATTATTAGTTTTTCACAATAACTTTTTCTATAGTCAAGTACGAGGGATGTCTTTTAAGTTTTGCATATGGAAATAAAACAACACGGTAGGTAGTTTTAAATGACTTTATTGTCTATTGTCTCCACGAAGATTAATACACATCTGCATGCGCTCGAACCAATTTTCGAAGCACTTATTCCACTCGTTTGCTGGCAGAACCAAAACGGCATTTTTGAATGCGTCAACTGCTGCTTCTGGTGACTGGAACCTTTTGACAACGCAGTCTGTTTTTAATTTACCGGGAAAGTAAAGAAATCGTTAGTACTTAGATCGGGACTATATGGAGGATGGTCCAATAAGTTCACGTTTTCTTCTGTTAAATACTGCCTTGTTTTTCGGGCTGTGTGCGAGCTTGCATTGTCTTGGTGGAGGATGATTCTTCTTTCGGGGTTGATTTTTCGAAGCTCGGTGATGACTTTTGGTAAACAAATGGTGCTATACCAATCCGCAGTAACAGTTCTTTGCTCATTAAGAGGAATTGTTGCAATATAACCCGCTTTTGACACAAATGTCGCGACCACCTTTTTCGAAACACTTCGAGAACGGACTTTTGTTGGCTTTTCTTCACCTTGGAACACCCAAACAGCCGACTGTCGTTTATTTTCTGGTTCATAACAGTAAATCCACGATTCATCCCCACTAACAATGCTGTACACATTTTTTGAGTTTCCGGAATTGAAACGGTCAAGCGTTTTTTGACACCAATTAACACTGGCTGCTTTCTGCTCTTCAGTCAACAGGTGGGGTATCCAACGAGAAACTAATTTTCTTACTCCTAATTCTTCATGTAAAACTGTTTGAATTGAGGTCTTTGAGATCTTCAAGGACGCCTCAATCTCGCGATACGTCACATGTCTATCTTCAATGATGAGTTTGCGCGCAGCATCGACGTTTTCCTCGGTGACCCACCCTAGGATCGTCGCTAAGACTCACCCGTCCACGTTTGAATTCTCCATACCAAATTGTCGACTAATGTGGCGCTTCGTTGCCGAAAGCAGACAGTAACTCAGCAAGGCATTCTTGTTGCGATAATTGTCTCTGGAAGTTGTAATAAATTATGGCCCGAAAATGTTCTCGGTTGAGTTCCATTTTTCTAATGACTTGGTGACATTAAAAATTCACTGTAGTGAGAACACTGCACGTATCGTTGTGAAACTTTGAATTTGAGCTTACTAAAGAGTAAGGTTAAGATTCAGTACTGACGTTCGATCCGCGCGGCCTACCTACTATGTTTCTATATGCAAAACTTAAAAGACATCCCTCGTAATTGTGACTCTTTATACAGGACATTTAGAGGTAATGTAAGAGGTTTATTGAATATTAACTTATGACGCGTTTTTGAGTTACCTTAATTTTCTTTTAAGTTATAAACTGATCCGATGAAAGTGATTGTACCCAAGCATTGTATAGAGTTCATAAGTGTTTTTCGTGCAAAATATCCCTGAAGAATCTTAATTTTGGAATACGGCACCTCAACCGTATTGCCAAGCTTTCAATAGGTTGATCCCATGTAAGATGCTTGTCAACAATCATCCATAAATATTTGACTCTGTCAGCTGATTTTATTTCAACTGTTGGAGTAGTAGATGGTAATTTAACGGCAATATTTGTAGAAGGAGAGAAGATCTTCCATTCCAAGAAAATGGTAGATATTTTGTTTTTTCTAGACTTATGGTTAAACCTTTGTTATTGGAAAATTCTATAATAATTCCAAAATCTTCTTCCTAGTTTTTGTCAGTATAAACTACAGCCCTATCATCTGCAAAGCCAGCAATCTCCCCTTAAGTCTCTAAAGAAAGCCATTTATATAGAGGTTGAACAGATTTGGCCCTGAAACTGTTCCCTGTGGGAAGGCTACTACTTGTGCTATTAACTTCTACACATTGATACCGTTCAGTCAAATAACTTTTTAGTAGAGCATATTTATGTATTTCCACGAAAACCGAAACTCTCCGATGTGACCAGAATTTCATTATGATCTACACATCTACAGTATCATAAAAAATGCACGCTGATGGCTTTCCTATATCTACATTTTATATACGTATAGGTTGATCATTAATTATATTATTGCGTCCTGCGTTGACTTACCTTACTGTAATACAAGGAATAATTATGGGACAACAAAGTATAAATAATTTCTAGTTGCTGTCTCAAATTTGCAGGGTCATGATAAAGACTTAGGCCCGTATCGTCAGTCGTCCCTACAATTGTAGGGCGCGTTTATGGCCTCCGTGATTGTCATAGTTTTCTACTTCTCCGTGTCAGAGCTCTATTTTGAGGTTATGTCGCAAACATCTATTTGCATCAAATTGTACTTGCTTTTGAGTTATATCATGTTTTATCAGCCTGAAATTTCCTACAATTTAAAAAGAAAACATATCTTCACAATAGAAGAGCGCTGACGCTGACACGGGACAAGTGTATACTAGAAATTTTTGAAGGAGAGAAAGGAGGATGACAATCAAGGAGGCCATAAACGCGCCCTACAATTGTAGGGACGACTGACGATACGGGCCTTAGTGTTAGCATTCATGGTGCTGAGGGCCAATAAGTTTGTAGCGAAGTGTGTGGAATGTTCAACCGCAGAAACTTCTACGTTCAGTACAAAACACGTGAGGCGCCTAACGCGGCACGTTTATTATTTGCGTATAAATTGCACATAAGATTTTCCTATTCGATCCCGCAGTAGTAGTATTCAACTCCCACCGATTTTATGTGAAACAAGTTCACAGCAATATCTCTTACTATAGCAACAGAATAAGAAATTATAGAAAAATGTCTTTTTTCTTACTATGATCACGCCACAACTGAAGTGACTAGAAATCTGCAAAAAAAAGTCAGGCTCAAATAGTCCACTAAATTATTGACTTGAGTACTCTCCAAGAAGATGCACAACTGTGTGTTGTATTTGAACGTTCACTTACAACTTCCACAGTCTAAAGCTGTAGCCACCTACATACGCCATCTATGGGACGCTAACGTTTCCAAAGTACGTACAGGGTGAGTTTTTAGTGCCGGAACGGACGATATCTCGTACGGCATCTAAAAAAGTTAATCACAAAAATATGTTTATCAATCTCTACACGATGCTGACCCAAAACACACTTCATTTTTAAATAAAATAAAGAGCCCTACATTTATATGCAATTTGGATAGGCCCTTTCAAACAAAGCAATTTGATATAACATACTATATGGTTTTACCGTCAAATTGTTGAGATATTGGAAAATCTATAGAAAAAAGTATACAGCTCTGACAACTCACGCCTCCGCAAATATATGCGAAGTTCCGAGTTAACACAGTTGAGTATCTTTTTCGATGGATTATTCAATATCTCAACAATCTGAAAGTAAAATCCTATAGTATGACGAATCAAATTGCTTCGTTTGGAAGGGCCTATTCAAATCTGTAGTAGATTGTAGGGCTTTTGATTTGAAAAATGTATACTTGGGCCACCACGTAGTTATGAATCACCCTTTCACCCTTGGAGATTAACATTAACTATATCTTCACCTTTACTGAACCTAGTTTATAATGAACTTCTTTTAGAGGCACCAAGGGAATCACCCCTTGAAGCTTGACCTAGTACTTAGTTTACATCCTATACAACATGGCAAGGCAACGAGTACATGCTTCGAAAATGTTAGTACGAGTATATTAATGGGAAGAGTCTAGTCAATATTATTTGATTGCTGTTTTTACTGCAATCTAGGCATAGATATATGGAGGACTCCTGAGGTTAATGAAATACTTGATTTATGTCTCGACAAACGATTATCATTCTTGCATTTCCTTCATTTATTCATTTGTTTTGCATGGAAGTACATTTACCATGATTCCAAATGGCCGACGATTTGAATGTGAATGCTCAGCGCTCAGCTCCTGTCAAATTTATAAGACTAGGAAATAGTTATGCTCTATGTTATGCTAATGTAAATACGTTCAATTTAATATTTCACCACATAGGGGGGCCGCCTCAGATTCGTGATCTTGAAATGATACATCGACAACACTGCATGTATAAATTTATGTTTTTAGGAAATATATGCCAATTACGGTTGTGTTCATTTGAAATAAATAAGAGGAATGTAAATGTATTTGAATGTTATTAATTATCATGCAGTAAATTATTATAACGTAAGGTAGTTGAGATGGTGTTTTCCGCAGTTTTCGAATATTTATACTTAAATTAGATTCCTAATTACATACTATGTACATACGGTTGATTACAAGCTTTGAATACTGTATATTGTAAGCCCATGTATGTGGACCAGCGAAAGATTGCAAGCCGAAAGAATGCGGACAAAAAATTGCGAAGTTGTCAGATGTTCTACATAAAATGCGGTCCATACATATTAACATATTTAAGATATAGAATTGTTCCGCTGAATTTGGCAATGTAG